ATTGTTCCCATGTTCACTTAAAGACGACGCAAGAGGATGGTTGCAATCGTTACCTCAAGGAAGCATCACCCGCTGGGACGACTTGGCAACCAAATTTTTGGACAAATTTTTCTCATCTTCGAAAATGGCAAAGCTCAGGGCAGATATCACTTCTTTTGAACAAAAAGGAAGTGAATCTCTATATGAAGCATGGGAAAGATTCAAAGGACTACTTAGGAAGTGTCCCCAACATGGCATTGAAGCTTGGGAGCAAGCGAGAACCTTCTTCCAAGGGATGACGCCGAACACAAGAACATTGGTGAATGCTGTATCAGGAGGGTCCTTGAAAACAAAAACTCCAGAGGAAGCTTTAGAATTGCTAGAATCTCTAGCCTCTCAAGAGTACGATAATGCTCCGGTACCACAGAGAAGAGCGGGGATAATGAAGCTTGATGGCTGTGATGCCATCTTGGCTCAGAATGAGCAGATTTTGCAATCCAATAAGAAACAGCAACAACAGCTAGATGCTCTCGCAAAACAATTTTCTGAATTTCAAGTTTCTTCTGTTAATACTCCTGCTATTATTTGTGATATTTGTGCAGGTACTCATGCTACTGAAGACTGCCAGGCACCCGAAACTGCAGATGTTAATGGAATTTGACATGATCAAAAAGCTCCATATAATCCAGGGAGGAACCAATACGACAATAATCAAAATCAAGGGTGGAGAAATAAAAATCAAAATCAACACCCGGGATTTAGTTACAATTTGAACCATCAGCTGAATCCTCCTATGCCAGTGCAACAGCAACCTCCTCAACAATCAGAATGGGAAAAGGCCTTTGCACAACTATCCAAGACCACATCAGACTACATTCAAAGTTCCAATAATTTCAGAGAAGACACTTCAGCCTTTATGCAAGAGACAAGGGCCTCATTCCGGAATCAAGAAGCTTCTATCCGGAATCTTGAAACTCAGATTGGCCAGCTATCAAAGCAGTTCACTGAAAGAGTTCAAAGAACTTTTCCAGGTAACACTATTCCAAATCCAAGTAGGGAACACTGCAATGCGAGTACTACTATGAGTGAGAAAGCCATTGAACCTGTGGTAAAGCCTTCAGTTGAGAAAAAGAAAGATGATGATCTTGCAACTGAAAAGGAAAAAGAAAAGGAAGTTGCCAAAGAATTTGCTGCAGAGAAAACTATTCCTGAGAAGAAAGAGTTCAAATGGGAGAAAAAGAAAGCTCAAGAAAGGCAAGAAAAGCCATTGGAGCTCTCACCTTATGCAAAGATTCCATATCCGCAGAGGTTCAGAGAGGAAATCAAAAAGCAGCAGTATTCCAAGTTCCTTTACATTTTCAAGAAGCTGCAAATCAATATCTTGTTTACTGAAGCCTTGGAGAACATGCCCAATTACGCAAAGTTCATGAAAGATCTTCTATCACGAAAGCGTAAGCTACAAGAATGTGAGACGGTGACGCTAACAGAGGAATGCAGTGCCATTATCCAGAAAAAGTTGCCTCCAAAGCTTAAAGATCCAGGAAGATTCAGCATTCCATGCAACATAGGCAATATGGAAGTGAAAAATGTTCTATGTGATCTCGGTGCCAGCATCAACGTGATGCCACTATTTATGATGAAGAAACTGGGGATCACTGAAGTAAGGCCAACCAAGACAATAGTTCAACTGGCTGACCGCTCTACAAAGCAAGCTTATGGCATTATTGAGGACATACTGGTAAAGGTTGACAAATTCATCATTCCTGTTGATTTTGTCATCCTTGATATAGAGGAAAATTCTACTATTCCTATGATCTTCGGAAGACCTTTCTTGGCAACCTCAGGAGCGCTGATTGATGTACCGAAAGGCGAGTTGATCTTACGGGTAGACGGGGAGCAAGCAATTTTCAAGTTCTTTGATAAAGAAGTCCCTTCACCTATAATTCAACCGCAAGATCAAGTCTACTATATTAGTGAAAAGAAAGGAGAAGAAGAGCACAAAGAGAATTCTTCTCAAGAAAGTAAGCCAAAGGTTAAAATGGAGAAGCTCAGGAGCAAGGGAAAACACGTAAACACCAAGTTCAAAGCTATTGAGCCTACTTCATCTCACTCATATGCACAAGAGTACTATGGGAGGACACCATTTCTGAATGATAGAGCTTGGTCATCACCAAGCCTATGCTTTGAACCACCATGAACATAAAAGAGGTACGTCAGGCTCGTGACGTAAAACAAGCGCTTGTGGGAGGCAACCCAACTATATTTTTTATTTTCCAACATTTTAGTATAGTATTTTAAATTTAGTTTAGCTTATTTTAATTATTCTTAGCATAGTTTATTTTAGTCATATCATAAAAATAAAAAAAAATAAAAACATTGAGGTTAATGATCAAATTCTGTTGAGATGGACTTTCAGGTGTAAGTGGGATGAAAGCATACACAGGTACGCAACTCTTATTCATTTATATGTTTTGTGTATGATATTGAGCAGAATTATTGAGGTGGAAGAATACACAGTAGAGATGAATGCAAGGAATAAGAAAATATGGAGAAAATTTTCTAAGTATTGAGAGCTTAAGCCCTTAAAGGAGGCTTAAGCCCCCAAAAAAGTGAAATTTCTCTCGGCCCTAGCGCGCTTAAGCTCTCTGAATCGCGCTTAAGCGCGCTAAATAAAATTTTATCCCATTTCTCACTGCCTCAGCTCGCTTAAGCGCGAATCACTGCGCTTAAGCGCGCTCATCTTTGACATTATGCATACTGTTAAAGTATTTCAGTTCCATATACTCATTATTATTTTCAGATGCATCTGAATATAAATCTGGAAATTGCACTAACTTTGCAAACATGTTGGATACTCGAATACTAATGCTGATATGGTTGCAGACACTACTCAGGATGCTGATAGAAATGATATTGCACCTACTACTGAAATTGATGAGGATTGACCATTGTCTCCATGTTTAGATATTTTTTTTCTTTTGTTGATTTTAGTTCATGTTGATATGAGATGTATATTGAGACTGATCTTGACGTGACTATGATTTTTTTTTGGATATGACATGCTGACGTAGTTTCTTTATCTGTGACATGTGTGCAGAGTACAGTATCAAATTTTTCTGATTTCTTGCTTAGGATTCTTTTAGATTTAAGTTTATTGCTGAGGACAACAAGATTTAAATCTGGGGATGGGCACCATGCAATTCATCAGACCATAAACTTCACATGGTCGGAAAAAGAAACTCTTGATTACACGGAGTACACAGAAATATCCAAATTACAAATGCAGTTTTTCAGGGGAGTTTCTCAATATTATTTTCATATTATATGATTTTAAATATATTATTTTGATTTAGTATTAGTTTATTTTAAGGTCTTCATATATATTAGTTAGTTTAATATTTAAGTTTTTTTAAATTATTTTTAAGACCCCTTCCATCTTAGTCAATAAATAATTAGTGGATCTTAAGAGATTTTCCATTGTGCTTGATATGGATGCATAATGAATAATTACATGAAATTGGTTGATAGTTGATATCAAGAGTATAATGATGTAAATAAATTTTATTTTCGTACATAAATGAGCGTCAGTCAAGCATGCTTCATAGTTCACTGGAATAAGAGAAGAATAACTAGAGTAATCAAAGAGAGAGTGGAAAAATAAGTCTCACATCCTTAGCCGTAAGCTTTTGAGCCTAAACAGAATTTTTTTGTGGTGTGAACTTTACTGTTGAATCACTCTAGAACTTATTTCGTTTCTCTTTGAAATGGTCTGTAGTATACAATTGTTGAAATGATAGAGGCAGTTCTTTTTAAAAGCTAGATAGCCAAATAGCCACCCTGAAGGTTTATTCTTAGATTAAGCCCTTTTGAGCCGAGGCTTGTTTGTTCATTGACAGTACATTATGAATAGCCATTCCATACACATCCTCACCTGAACTGATTAATTTTCAAAATTAAATGAGGAACTGGATAGGATTGAAACAAAAAGAGAAAATCAAACTCTAAGTGTATGGGAGAAAAAGGTGAAAAGAAGGAAATTGCCACAAAGTGGTGGAAAAAGGAAATGAAAAGAAAAAGGTTGAACTGTTTATCTGTACAAAAACAGAAAAAGAAAAACAAAAGGAAGAAGGAAAAGAAATAAAAGACTTATATTATATGAATAAGTGGAAGAAGAAAAGAGGAGGAAAATAAGAGAAATCTGTTTACTATATGTTGAACAGTTAAACTAGTTCCTATTTGAAGTTTAATTTTAATCAGTTATCTTAAGCCACTTACCCAGATGATTCCTTTCCTTTTACCTAAGCCACGTTACAACCTTAACAAAGACCTCTTGATTGACTTTGTATACTAGTAAGACTGTGGAGAGTGAGAATATAAACAAGCTTATGGTAGTGTTAATTTAGTGAAGTAAGAGTGAAACACATACCCTTAAACACTGAATGTGAGTGAATAAATAAAAATCCAGTGAGAGGGTGTTGTGGAAATTAAATTGTACTACTCTTTCTTTTGAGAATGCATGTTATGATTTTATGACTGGTGAATTATGACTGTTTGCTTGAAATTGATGTGTCATTGATTTTTAATAAGTCTAAATACTTTGATATCTCATTATTGATCAGTTTTCTGCCTGTTATTCATCAAGCATGACTAGCCGTCTCCAAACTTTCCCATAGTTTTATTCTAATTAATTGCTGAGGACAGTAATGTTCAAATCTGGGAATTGTTTGATAAACCTTTAGTTTATCTTGTTTAATGGACTAAAATAATATGAATTATCTAGTTGAACAAGTCAAAAATTAGGGTTTTAAAATGATAATCATGAACATTATCTGATTGTTGGAACTAATTAATATATTTGTTATTTTTAAAGGGATTTGATAACAAATGATTCAAATATGAAGATTTAGATAAAGAGAGATCAAATCAGAAAAGAAGATGAATCAAGGTGAAAACAATAAGATTGAAGATCTTATCAAGTTGTTAGAAGTGGGAGCTTAAGCCCCCATTCACAAGCTTAAGCGCCCAGACAAGTCCAACTTAGGCCCATTCAAGTTTTCTACTGCAATACGAACTCTTGACCTATTTAAACACCATTGGGGACCAGAAATACATAACTTTTACATTGCTAAACAACTCTTGGGTGCTCGGAGGCTGAAGGAACGCGGAGGAACATCAGATTCATGTTCGTGAGCGGCGGAGACGGATCAACGTCAAGTGTACTGGAGATATTGAAGATCCACCAATCACTTATGGAGTTTGGGGAAGCTTTTTTATTTTCTTTTGTTCTTGATTTTGCTATGTCCGGCTAGTTCTTTAAGTAGTTAGGGTTAGATGGATTTTAGTCGATTTATTATGCTTTGAACAATTCGTACGTTAATTTTCCTTTTTATCATGAATGAAGTTATCTGTTTTTAATGCTTTATATAGGCTTGAATCTTATATAATGATCATCGGTAAATGCATGACAATAGGGATGTTGGTGTGTGATCCATGTCTGATAACTTCATCGTAAACGCTATGATTCTAGGGATAGACATAGAATTTGCGTAACCTTAAGATTCTTGAACTTAATGCTTGCATTTTTGGGGAATAACCGGGGAACTAGGGTTCTTTCAAGTTTGTAAAGGTTTTAGAGTAACAAGGGATTGAACTCTAATAACATGCAAAAGAATTGATTAGATTGATACTAAGGACAATTAACATTAAGAAGGAATTCAAACGTAATGAGGAGATTAAATGAAATCGAACCCCTAGCTACGTTCTTTTACATTCTTAAATCACATCTTTAATTTCACGTCTTTAATTCCTGCAAGTAATTAGCTTTAATATTTAATATTTTAATTTTGCAATTCAAATCCTCTTTCCAAATACACTCTTGATTGTCCAACTTAAGTTGCGATAGTGAATTGGTGCTTGAACCGTAATCCTCGTGGGAACGATCTCTTACTTAATCATTATATTACTTGTACGATCGGTGCACTTGCCGTGAGTAGCAACAAAACACTATAAAGGGTTATGGTCCCCAATATGTCAAATAACAACCTAGTTTCTCTTCCCTAACAACACAGAGACAACATAATAAAGTATAAAGATTGAGGCTATTTGACTGAGGAAGATCGCATACCCCAGAGGAGAAGATCATACTAAAGAATAAAAATTAGTGTTATTTGACCAAAGGAAAATCGCATACCCCAAAAGAGAAGATCGAAATTATTCCACTACTATGGAGACATGTATTCCTCCACCTTTCTGTTAATATTCCTTTATGATTTGGTATGATAGATCTTGATTTGTTGGTAATGCTTATCACCATTTGGTTAAGATGAATTATTATTCCAACAATAAGAGGTTGGCCATAATATTAATAACCGTGTGTAGAATTAATTCAACCCAAAATTTTAAGTAATTAGTTGAAATTTAATTAATAGTTTTTTATATTTTAAACATGCCTTTTCACAGTAAACACTAAGGCACAAATCTATAATTGTGTTAATATTTTTCACAATATTTAAATAAATGGACAGATATGATTGATCTTTAAACCATTTAATCATAGAGACTCGAATATCATATCAGGCAATCAATTCTCTTAAAAAATTAAAGTTATTAGAGAAAATGGATGAATAATTTTTCATATTTTATATTGTATTTTTAACACAAAATTTATGAAACAAGAGCATATATAATGGGAAATATGTTTCTCATGTTGCAAGAATTTCTGCAACTATTTTTTAACTATGTATTCTCGAAAATACATAGTTATAATATTAAAGTTGTTTTTTTTAACTATGTACTCCCAGGAGTATATAATTTAAAAACGGTTGCTAGTTTTCTTTTAATTATGTACTTTCGGAAGTACATAATTAAAAAACAGTTGCAGGAATTCCTGCAACATAAAAAAGACATTTCCCATGGATATAATACGTACAACCCTAGGTATGGTGCCCTTTGTAGGAGGCAATATGGATTACGGAACAAAACTAATACGTAAGCTGAAAAGAGATAGAGAGAAAGGTAAATCTCTATGTAGATGAGGATCTTGGTTACCCTTCAAAGTTCCAAGCAAAACATAATCTTTTTCTAGTTTTTGTGATCCCGAATAGCCGCAATTGTTCAACTTGGCCCTCTTGGTGGTGATGAAAAGGCAAAAGGTGTGTATCTATATCTAGCAAGTCTCTTGATATCTCTTTTATTTAAGCCTATCATCTAAAAAATCTTACACCACATATGATCGGTTTGGGCATGTCATAGACCAGTCTTGAAATCTTTTTTGCTTCTCAGATAACGGATGCTTTATCTCCAAACCATGAAAATAAATCATCACGCCATATAAAGTGGCATGCATTATATGATCTTCGAAAAGTAAAAAGATGCTCAGCTACAAGGGAGAAAACAAATCTTTCTTTATAATTAACAGGTATTGACAATATATTTAAGATACTCATAATGTTTACCGAAACAAGTTTAATGAGATATCCCTTCAGGCTTCACAAGTCTTATAAGCTTGATTATTTAAGGCAAATGGATTCCCTTGCTTGCATCTTGTTGTGACTTGTAAAAATTCTCATTTCTTTTATCCTCTGCTTAGATTTTAACAATCTCACGTGGGAATTAAAAAATCAATCTGACTCCGTAAAGACTAATATATATTTGTAAGTTTTTGTTTGTGTAAAGTGTTATTAGTATTGCATTAACCAATATATAGTTGAGTATTTAATCAATAGCTCCATCTGAATATTTAATTTTTTATATGGGTAGGTGTTAATTATTGTAATCATTCACTATTGCTATTATAAAAACCTCATGCGAGAAAAAGAAGAAGCACCACGTTTAGAAGTATGTACACTTAGGACTCGTTTGGTGCACTTGATAAGGAGAATATGATAGGATAACTTATCCTATTCTGCCTTTATCAATTGTTTGGTATGCCAATCAGATAGGATAT